TAAATCTCTAATTTATTTTTATAATTGATCAATAGTATCAATATATTAAGAATTTTCTTTTTTTTGATTTGATAATTGTGATTTTAAAATACTGTTTTCTTCTCTTAATTTGATCATTTCTTTACTAATTTTTTCAATTTTAGCTTCTAAGATATCCATATCTTTATGTTATGCATCTGTTAATTATTATGATTATTTTTGTAATCTTTCTAATTACTCTTTATATTTTCCCATTTCTTCTTTTAAAAATGTATTTTATCTTTATTCAGCATGTAATAATCTAATTTATTCATTAAATTGTTATTCTAAATTATCAATCTAAGCATTCTTTTTTTTAAGTTCTTCATTATGAGATTGACCATATTATTTTTCATTTGCATATTAATTATTAAGATCTCTTATCTATTTACTCATTTTTTCAAATTATTATTCATAATCATTTATTTCTATTTCTAATCGTTTGCTAAAAAAAGATTAAATTAATAAAATTACTTTTAGTCTTCTAATTATGGTATTAATCTACTTGATTTTTCATATTAAATTCTTAATTAATCATTTTCTTATTAAAGAAACTTATTATCTTTTTTAATTCTTTCACTTTCTAAACTTAAATTCTTTAGTTTTAATTCTAATTCCGAAACTCTTTCTTTAATTTCTCCACTTCTTTTTTTTTATTTATCAACATCAATCATTTTTTCTTCTAACTGAACTTATAATTATTAATCCATTTTCTTTTTTAATTTTTAAATTCTAATTTATTATTCTGAAATAGTTTCTTCTTTAGTTAATAATTTATTTTCTAATAATGTTATTTATGTTCTAAGTGTTCCTATTTCTTTTTATAATATATCAATTTCTTAATTTAATTATCCACTCACTTTTTCTAAAGTAGTGTTTGTATCAAAATGTTATTTTATTTTAGATTAATCAGTTAACATTTATGTTAATTTATCAATTTATATCTATAATTTTTGATTATTAAGTCTTTCTGCATGTCTAATGATTATAACAAATTCATACACATTCTCTTTATAAAAGTCTGCTTGTCTTTCAAGTGCACATTTTTCATTTTACCAATTTCTTTTTTCTTCTTGCCATTATACTTATAATTCAATGATTTCTTCTTTCATTTTAGCTAAATGATCATTTTTTTTCAAAATTTTGAATTATAATTTATTGACTACATCACGTAATTCTTCATCACTCTTATGATTAAAAGATGATTCATTATGAACACTCTTTTTTCTTTCATTTCCAGAATCACTACGTTTATTAGATGAAAAACTCTTTTTTGTTGGCTATCGTTACATATTAAATTTAATGTCTAAATAAATTGTACACCATTAGTCATAAAGTCTTTGGAATTATACATTATCACCAGGTACTTCTATATTTTTAATATTTAAGGATGGACTATGAAAGAAGTGGAGATTCTGAACTTGGCGCTAATGAAATTTGGCATAGGAAAATGGCGCAAAATTATAAACTCTGAATGTTTACCTGGTAAGAGTATAGGATAGATATATATGCAAACATAAAGATTATTAGGGTAATAAAGTTTAGGTGAATTTATGGGATTGTCTGTAGATCTAAAGAAAGTGTATTTACATAATATGCAAAAAAAGAATGTATTTAGAAAAAACAATTCAATTATTAATACAGGAGATAATTTAACATAAGAAGAAAGGAAGAAAAGAATAGCTGAAAACAAAAAGAATGTATTTTTTGATTATTATCTAGTTTGGTATAAGTCCTGCTGATATTGCTTTAATTAAATTACCTAGATATCATGTTAATTCATAAACTTCCTTTCTTTCTCATGATGAAATTATGGAAGGCAATTTTACAACAGTGGAAAAGATAAATAATCTTTGTGCTTTGAAAAAAGATATCTTAAGAAAATTGAAAAAAATTGAGAATGGAGAATTAGAAGAAGCATTTGATGATGAAGTAGAATAAAAAAGAAGATATAAAAAAGTTATGACAGATTCAGATTCTTCATCAGCATGAATTATATCATCTAAATATATTTTAATTTATTTACATTTTGTATTCTATTTTAGGATATTTATTTATCCTTGTAATATTTATCATAACTAACTAATTAACTAACTCAATAACTTAAGTTTATTAGAAATGAGATTATATAAGGGATTAGAAAGAATAAACAACAATTCTCTTATTTTATATTATATTTTGATATGTTTGATCATTAACTTGTCTTCTTAAGTTCTTCTAATTCCAATGCTTTCTTTAAAGCTTCTTATTGATGTCTAGATTTAATTCCTACTTAACCACCTCCAATAGTTCTTAACAATTCATGATTTTCATTATAGTGTTATCTTAAATCACGAGCCTAAAATATATTAATTTATTACTAAGTTATCGAATTCTGCTTAGTCTTCTTTTCTTACTTCAGTCAAAGCTACACAAGTTGCAGTCTTTTAGTGAACCAATGCTCCCAATCTAGCCTTATCTTTTATAATTGTATATTTTATGTACTTTTAACAAAGGCAAATGGGACTTCTTAACGTCTACATAATTATGGAAGCCAAACAACTAATTCAATTGGATCAACATCATAAGCAATCAAAACTAATTTGGCTTTCTTTGTTTCAACCAAAGTAGTAACATGATTTAAACCGAATTTAAGGACAGTCACTTTCTTGCTATCTGTCTTCTAATTTTATGCCTTAGATTCAGCAGCTTTGACTAATCTTTATTTCTTTTCTGTTTTGGTTTCTGGGGCATATTTCTTTAAAAGAGCATAGACCTTTGAACCTTATATTAAAATAGACACATTACTTTGATTTTTGTCGAGTGTTTTGCTGAATTAATGAATGGCTGCTGGTACTTTGATTCTTTGCAATAAAATCTTTTTTTATCTATGTAAAAGAATATAACGAGGCCATCTGACATATCTTGATAAATCTCTCTTTGGTTGAACATCATTTCCAATTCTGAAGTTTTTGGCTTCTTTAACAAAGAGTGGATTCTTCTTTCTATCTGCTACTTTCTTTTAAATCTTCTTTGCCTTGGATGTCTTTGGAGCTTTTGGCTAAAAGAATTATCACAATCAAATTTACCATTGTTAATGAAAATCTTTTAATATATTTTTTGAAAATAAAAGAAAAAACAAGCCTTAATATTTAATAAATTTATATACTTCACATACCCAAATAAATTAACATTAATATTATCATAAAATAAATATAAGAATCTCAATGCATTCATAAAGGAATAGATTTAATAAACAAAGACTTATTCTATATTAACTAATTTTTACAAATAATTATAAGTAATGATTATACAATAAATAAATTATTAATGAATACTAATAATCATAAATATATATAAATGATTTGTAATTTAATAATCATCCATCTAAATCAATTCCTTATGCTTAAAGTGCTTTTAATATTAAGACTTCAAATTCATGTATACTAACCTTTTTATCTTTATTTAAATCTGTCATATGTATCCAAGAATCTATTTCCTCTTTTGTTGGCACATATTTCTCATCTGATATCAATTTATTTGTTTCAATTAACAATTTTGGTACCTTTATAATAAATTAGAAATAATACTTCATCAAAAGTAATATAACCATCTTTATTAGTATCAGCTAATTCAAAAATAGATCTAGCAGCTTTTAATCTTGCTTTGGCTTAATGAGTTTATGGCTTTGGTTCATTACTATTCATTCTTAATATATAACTTTATATAAATTATAAAAACAGATTCTTAAAACTTCATTTTTTCTTTATTTAATTATATTTAGTTTTTATTAATTTTTCTTCAATCTTTACTTTCTAAAATTAAACTTATGCCTATTTCAATTATAATTCCAAAGTATTAAATCTTTCTTATAATTTAATTCTTTAATTAAATACTTTATTTAAGTTAGCATTTTCAACTATCAAAATATGAACTCTTTCTTCCAAATCAAGAATCAATTGAGTTATGTAATCAGTTGTAGAGTTCTTAGCTAGATCAAGTTTAGAAATTTCATATTTTTGTTATTTTTCTTTAATTTCATTCAATTTTTTCTCATTTTCTTTTATTAATTATAATTATGATTCTATATTTTTTTTAAGATGACTTTTATCTCCTATTTATTGCAATTCTTAATTCTCTTAAGTTAATTTCTCATTCATTTAAGTCAATAATTATATTTTTTATTGTAATTCTTTAATTAGAGTATTAGATTAACCACGTTAAATTTCAGAGGTCAAATTAAGGATTTATTTCTGAAGATTATTATTTTTTTATTTAAAATAGTCAAGTTCTTATTTTATATTATGAGCAGTACTATTTCCTATTTTAATAGGTGATTAAGCTGAATGAATAGATAAATTATAAGGAGATTAAATTGGTTTTATTTCTTTTCTTGATGTTAAAGGTGATCTACAATTAGGTGATAGAATAGTTTAGGTTTTTAGTTTTGTATTTCTAGGACTCATATAAATAGCATTATTATCTTAACGAGAATCTGGTACAGTCGAAAGTTTCTATTTAGATATTTAGAATTGTATCTAATAATTTATATCTTAAGTCTTTGATGCTTAGGATCTATAAGTATTTTGATTAGAGTCAATAGGTGACAAAGGTGATCGAGTTTGTTGCATAGTTAATAAAATATTTTAAAATATTAACGATAAATTTAATAACAAATAATAATACAGAGTATCACTTATCCATACAAATCAAAACATAATATAAATTTATATTCTTTATGATTAATGACTGAAAAACCTTAATTTTGAATATCCTAAGTTATATATAAATTAATTTATTAATACATTAATGAAGGTTTTTTACAGATATCTAACACTATTTTTAATAATAAATTTTAGTTTTATTAAAGAATCTATGTATAATATTTATTATTCTTATTAATTTGATTTTANTTTGGCTTAATGAGTTTATGGCTTTGGTTCATTACTATTCATTCTTAATATATAACTTTATATAAATTATAAAAACAGATTCTTAAAACTTCATTTTTTCTTTATTTAATTATATTTAGTTTTTATTAATTTTTCTTCAATCTTTACTTTCTAAAATTAAACTTATGCCTATTTCAATTATAATTCCAAAGTATTAAATCTTTCTTATAATTTAATTCTTTAATTAAATACTTTATTTAAGTTAGCATTTTCAACTATCAAAATATGAACTCTTTCTTCCAAATCAAGAATCAATTGAGTTATGTAATCAGTTGTAGAGTTCTTAGCTAGATCAAGTTTAGAAATTTCATATTTTTGTTATTTTTCTTTAATTTCATTCAATTTTTTCTCATTTTCTTTTATTAATTATAATTATGATTCTATATTTTTTTTAAGATGACTTTTATCTCCTATTTATTGCAATTCTTAATTCTCTTAAGTTAATTTCTCATTCATTTAAGTCAATAATTATATTTTTTATTGTAATTCTTTAATTAGAGTATTAGATTAACCACGTTAAATTTCAGAGGTCAAATTAAGGATTTATTTCTGAAGATTATTATTTTTTTATTTAAAATAGTCAAGTTCTTATTTTATATTATGAGCAGTACTATTTCCTATTTTAATAGGTGATTAAGCTGAATGAATAGATAAATTATAAGGAGATTAAATTGGTTTTATTTCTTTTCTTGATGTTAAAGGTGATCTACAATTAGGTGATAGAATAGTTTAGGTTTTTAGTTTTGTATTTCTAGGACTCATATAAATAGCATTATTATCTTAACGAGAATCTGGTACAGTCGAAAGTTTCTATTTAGATATTTAGAATTGTATCTAATAATTTATATCTTAAGTCTTTGATGCTTAGGATCTATAAGTATTTTGATTAGAGTCAATAGGTGACAAAGGTGATCGAGTTTGTTGCATAGTTAATAAAATATTTTAAAATATTAACGATAAATTTAATAACAAATAATAATACAGAGTATCACTTATCCATACAAATCAAAACATAATATAAATTTATATTCTTTATGATTAATGACTGAAAAACCTTAATTTTGAATATCCTAAGTTATATATAAATTAATTTATTAATACATTAATGAAGGTTTTTTACAGATATCTAACACTATTTTTAATAATAAATTTTAGTTTTATTAAAGAATCTATGTATAATATTTATTATTCTTATTAATTTGATTTTATACTAAAAAAACAAAAAAGAATATTATTAGATAAATAATCTATAATTATAAATTTCATTAATCAAAAAATTAATTATCTTTTTCATTTAATGTTTTAGGTTTGAGTTGAAGATGTATTTTTCCTTTTGATAAATTATTCTTTTTCTCATTATCCTCAGTTTAAGGTAAGGGAGATGCATTATCACTTATTAATTTTTCTGTCATTTGAGGATATTATTCATTTTAATTTTATGGTTCTTAATGAATTTTATGATGATCATAATATGTTTACACTTCATAATACTTATTAAATATTTATTCCATAGCTGGACCCATTAAATATATAATTCTTTAATTTACTACATCTGAATTGTCTTTCAATTTTGAATAGGAATGATATATTTTAACCATTTTTCTTGGATTATGATAATTTTTGCTTCTAATCAATCTATTATATTTTTATTTATTAGCTTATTAAAATAGAAAATTTGGATCTCCTTCTTAATTATGATTGAATTTGTAATTTGGTTCTACATTTACAATAGGTTTAGGAGTATAATTAAAAACTTTGATTTAATCCTTTTCTAAAAGTGCTTATTTCAATTTTTCAATTTATTACAATTTCTAAAGAATATTTACAATATCTAAATCTTAGAGTATGACATTTTCACATTATTAAAGCATTTTACGTGTCACTCTTATTTTTTCTACACAAGTACAACAAAGAAGTTAATAAAAGAAAAAATTGATTCCTAACTTTAATTTATGTCTTTATTCAAAAATTTCATTAAACAAATCCTTTAAAAAAGATTCTTTAACTTCTAATAGACTACTAGCTTATCTTTGAATATCATCTTAATGAAGTGGTTGATCAATTAAAATAGAATTCTTTTTATCACTTTATTATGTAGGATTAGATTAATGTCTTATAGTTATAGCTCTTGTTATCTTATTCATTTTAACAAGATTTAAAGTATGATTTTTAAGTTTATTTATAGTTTCATCAACTTTATTAAGTTATTTTTAGATGTAACTTAACAATTTATCATATGTAAACTCTATCTTACCATTCTTCTTTTATGGTATATTAAATTAATAAAGAGAATTAGCTAAAGATAATCTTAAACCCATTTAATTATATTATAAAGCTACAATACCAAAAATAGATGAAATTATTTTAAGCATACCTCCAAAGTATGATAAGAATTAATCAATTGTATTAACTTTTTTTGTTGTCTATTGAAATTCTTAACTTAATCTAAAATTAACTGAAAATAATGAACTAGGAATATTATTAAATGTCTTTTATATGATAAATAATTACTTTAATTTCCCTATAACTGTAAATTGGAAAAACCCAATAATCAATTATCTCATCATCTTAATAAAAACTAAAAATGCTATTCTAATTCACTATTCTATTTGATTCAAAGAAAATGTCAGCAGTTGATTCTGCATCGAAATTTGTAGCCAAAAAGAAATCAGAATTCAAATATTAATATAACGGATAATCTGTTTAATTAGCCAAGAAAATTGCAGATTAAATAATGGTTGAAAGAGAAACCATAACTGATGCATTTTTAGATAACTCCAGTATTTCTGAATCTGAATAACAATTCTCTGATTTGCATAAGGAAACAGATAATTTAGGAAACTACATAATATATGAACTGTAAGTTCCTTATAACCATAATTAATAATCTTTTGGTAAGCATAAATAGTGGTTTAACTGATTCTCTACCTAATGAAATTCTTCAAAATTTATAGAAGGAAAATGATCTGTTGTACAACTTTCTAATATATAAGACTTTGTTATTCTTTTGGTTCTTTTTCCAGATGGAGTTGTCTCTATATAAACTTGATTCATTGAGATATTAAAGGCTGTCTTATTCAAATTTGGAAAATAATCTGCAAACGGATTATCTAGTTTTATTGCAAACATAAAGTTATTGCTATTCATCTCCTTTAAATCTGGATCCATGTCCTAAAGTTATTAGACTTCAATCTATTATAGTTTTTATTATTGTTACTGTATAGGTATCTCTATTAAATACACCAATCAAGCCAGAAACAAGAATGTAGATCAGTACAACTGTCATCATAACGGACAATACTCCTCCACAAACACTCTTATACTCCTATTATTTATTGATATTAAGGCTTAAAGGCACACCAAAGTTATCATATCCTCTTAAGGCTAAGTTAATTGATTTCAACATACAATTTAAAAATAACTTAAAAATTAAATTTGATTTATGTTATGATTCTCATTTTATATGAAAATTAAATAACTTTTGTCAATGAATAAACAATCTGTTTAATTGTGTATCCAAAAACAAGATATATATTTCAACTTTTTTAAAATACTTAAAAATCAATATTATATATTTTCTATATTCTATATTTAAATCATTTCCTTTTAAATTTCAAAATTAAGAATATTTGATGTTATAAACAGAAAATATTAAACAAGTAAATAATAAACATTCTATTTATTCATTTTAATGTAAATCAAATCAAAATCAAAGAAGTAACCTAAACAAAGATCCTTTATATAAAATATAATAGAAAAATTCTCTAATATCTATTTTTCAGAAGAATATTAATTCAAAATATATGTTAATTTATTAAAAATCAAAATTATTAATTCAATATAAAATATTAAAGGTTTAAAAGATCAAATTTAAGTAAATCTTATTAAAGATTTTAATTTTAATAATATTTTTATTTAGGATTATTTTCATATCTAACTATTTTAATTTCTCAAATTCTATTTTGAGAGATTAGAATTAGCATAATTAGATAATAATAATGAAAAATTAATTCTTTAATTTTCATAAATGAATGAGAATGCCCATTATAATTTGCAAAGTCTAATATATTTTAATGTACTATTGTAAATTTATCTCAATCAAACAAACCTCCCATATCAACATCTTCTTCAGGTTCTGGGTCCTTTGGTTTTTCAGCTGCTTTTGGTGCTTCTGTTGGTTTTGCAGCAGCTTAGGCTGGTTAAGCAGCTGGGGCTGAGCTTGAACCTCCTCCGACTGAAAGAAGGCTTATGATGTCTTTTCCTTCAAAAGCTCTGACGAATTAGGTTGCCAATTATGATGGAACATTCACACCAGCCTGTAAATATATTTCAATTAATGAATACTTTCTTGGTGAGTTTTTCAACATTTTCAACTGTTAATGGAGTTTTTGATCCAGCTAATAAAAGAGCTGCATATGCTACTGCTGTTGCCTAATTTGCCATAATAATAATTATATTTTTAAATAAAAAGATTTCCTTAATTAATTAAATGTGAATAGTTGTGAAGCAAATAATATAAATTCTTTGAGTATTTCCTATTAATAATGTATTGAATTATCTATATAAGAAAAGATCTAAACCATACTTAATTCTAAAATTATGTATTGATATTAAAACTTTTAATACAAATATAGATTATAAAGAAATAAAATAATGGTCTAAAAGAATTTAGACATATTAATTAATAAGAGTTAGCTTAATATAAATTTTAGATTATAAATTATTTATGTTAAAAAAGTTATCACAATAATATTAGAAGATTTCAATGAAATCATTATAATTAGGAATATCATTAAATTATTCAACAAATAAAATCAGATATAGTTTTAGATCAACTAGATTTATTGTAAAAAGTTAAGAATAAAATGAATCATCTAAAATAATGATGATTACTAAAGAAGAAATTATATCATTTCTTAAAAACAATAAAATTGCTTATCGAATATAGAGAACTTATGCTTAATTATAGTTTTGTCCATTCTGTATTAAAAGAAATTTTGATGAACTTTCTAATTAATATACAATGGGTATAAATTTAAAAAAGTAAATACTTTGATGAATTGTATTAGTGGAATGTATAATTGTTTTAGATCGAGCTGTTAATCTAAAGGATAATGGAAAGACTTTTTATAATAAATGACTAATAATGATCCTAAATTGATTGTTGATGGACCTATACATTCAATACCTAAGTAGAATAATTAAGAAGAAGTTGGAATATATGATTAAAAATATGAGCTATTTCAATTTCATTTGCATTATTAAAGAATGAAATTGCAATAACCAAAATTTATCTATGAATATTTAGTTGGAAATAATTGGGATAAGGTTAATGATGTATATTTATTTCTAGAATCAAAGAGGTATCAAAGAAGAAGTCTTAAATAAATATTTAGTAGGTATTGGTTAAGATGAAGTATTTGATCCTCAATTAAAATAAATGGTTATGGCTCCTCTTATTTATTTTCCTATGTTTAGATTGCTTTCTTAACAATAACAAAATGATAACGATATAAAAAATGAATATATTTAATCTAAATACAATTCTTAACTTTATGAACTAGTTAGTTGTAAATTAAGAGGAATGGGAAAAGAAAATAAATATATTTAAAAAATAGAACCTAAAAATGCAATGAAAGGAATTTTTGGACTTAATTTATTAACAAAAAATGTTAAATAAATTATTTTAACAGAAGGAGAATTTGATGCTATGGCTGCTTATCAAATGACAGAAATACCATCTATTTCTTTACCTTATGGAATAGCTCATTTTCCAAATTTTTTATTAGAATGGTATTATAATATTGTTATATAATATAGGATTAATGAATATAAAGAATTAAATAATATTTTTATTTGGGTTGATGATGATGAATTTGGAAGAGTTAATTCTAATAAAATAGCAAGTAAAATTGGAAATTGGAGAA